ACCAGGAAAGAAAAATCAAATCAAATTTTTTCACTGTGCTAGTAAAAAAAAAGTTATTGAAACCTTTCACCCATCAGGTCTTTTATTTCATTTTCTTCCTGTTGTAGGTGCATGCTCATTTATTCAGCTCAGTTAGGAAATGAAGTCCAATCACTGAAATCCATTTCTGTGATACAGCTGTGCTAAGAATAAAGTGCAACACTAAAGGAACAGTAGTTTAGAGGGTGGAAATTGCATGTTCCAAGATTTGCTTTTTAATAACAACCCTAGTATTCCCGACCTTGACATTTTCTTCTTCAAAAGAGATGAGAAGCCCTCCATAAATTATGAAAATCTCTTTCACTTTTATTTATCAGAACAATTAACGAGAGCTCAGTTAATATTGATTTAGAACAGGAGAACGATGATTGCTCTACAGCCAGGGAATCTCATGTAAATAAATATCTGATTTAAAGAATAAACCCTGTTAGTGCAATAAATATGCTAAGCACAAATTACCAATTCCTTGTTCATAATAAAAAAAAATATTAAGTGAGGATTGTCAAGAAATAAATCTGTTAAATGGACTAAAAACCAACACACAGTACTAAACAAGCACTACAACTGAGAGATAAATAAGTCTGTTCAGTGTGAATAAAGGTTCTTTACATCAAGATGTAAAGTGTTTTGTGCGGGGGGGGCACCAATATTTTTCAGGTTAAGTGTTGTAAAATATCAACATAAGGATACTAAGCTGGCTCTGCATTATTTTATAGCTAAGCTCACACCTGAATTTTTCTTTTCTGTAGGCTGAAGGCGCCATTGCTGAGAGTTGTTTTACATGTCACATAACAAGATAGCCCCTGCCATAAAAGGGTTTTAGAAACTGGTTGAGAACAAGCACGAATGCATAGAAGAAGAAAACAGGGGCAGGGAATGATATCTAACAGTGCAAACAAACACCCCACCAGAGATAGCTTTTAAGGAGTTATCTAAAGGGAGACAAAACGGAAGAAAATGGAATCTTAAGGCTTTGGGTAGAGTAATTTCCCAATTACTCTAATTGCTCCCAAGTTGATAACTTGAGGGAGCAGAAAGGTGTTTTTGAGGGGTGCTATACTTCCAATTTCTCATGAAATTGGGCTGTTTCACATATAATGGAGCTTCCCCACCAAGTGTATACAGAGAGCTAAAGCCAATCCTAGCTTTATGGCAAATATACCTGTAATGCACTGAATAAATGAGATGTAATGGGAACAGTCACATTTCCCCCCCCCCCATGTTATTGACTCCACTTGCATATAAAACTGGTGATGGTGGTGGATGTTATTACAATACAAAATGAGGTGTGGGAATGAGCAAAGTGGAACTCTGTTATCTACCTTAGCCCTATGCCAATGATGATGATTGGGAGACTGTGGTCATGCCCAGACGTGGCCCAGATCCTAGCCTCTTCGTGCACATTTAGGACTGAGCTGAAGCCCTCTGATGTTGCTGCCTATTTGCAGACCACGAGTTTAGGGTGAAATTACAGGGATGGGGAACAATCCTGAACTATTACATTGTAATGCAAAAATATAAAGTTTGCCTTGGTGGATGAGACCAGCATCCATCTGGACCATCACTTTCTTCCCAACAGCAGCCAGCCAGCTGACTTTAGGCAGGAGCATCCTTAGGAAAGCTTGTGCCCTAGGTCTTTTGTGGTGAGAACCTGATCTCTGGCCACTTCTTTAAAAAAACTTAAATGTTTTTCTACATTGCTTATAGGGTGGCTGGGCACACTGAAAACACACTGCAGATGTGATCTCAGCCAGCCACCATCTTAATTGTCCAGAGGCATCACTATAAATTATGCAAATCTGAACCATGGGCCTGTACTCCTTTCAATACTTAACAACTCTCCTCCCTTTGGGTGCTTCCAAACATGGCATAGTGGCAGCAACTTTTATTTGCAGTCTATCACAATGATCAGTTACTGATATAAGTATGCTGATGTAATACAAAGAGATCCCACCGTTACGCCTGTTGATAGACCCATACTGCATGGGTTATCGCTGTGTCTCCCCCTCTCTGCAAATAAGCTCAATGAAATACACTAATACTGCTTATGCTTTTATGTGGTATACAGATTCATGCAACAGTGATTTATTTTTGGGGTACAGGTATCAATATGGAGTGAGTCTGGAATGGAGAACTAGGAGCCAGAACTGAAGGCTCCATCAACAGACAGAGCCAGTAGAACAAGCCAGAAGTCAGGAGGACTGAAGAAGATCAAGAAAAGAAAGCTCTTATTTTCACCTTTCTAAAGAAGGAAGAGTGTGTGGTCAGCTGGGGTGGGTGGGTGGGTGGCTGGAGCCAGGCCAGATCTGGAAGATTCTTCCCTGAGAGGCAGCAGTTACATGGTTCACTGTTCCTGACATCAGTTAAAAGCCAGATGACTCATTATCTAAAAACATCTGTAATTTGGCGGACAGAACTAATTTCCTGTTGAATCGGTCAGGACCAAGATTCTTCAGAAAAATCAAAAGCGCAAAGGAGACAATTTCTTGTCTCTTTCATGTTGTGAGGGGTGGCTAGAGGCTGTTGGACTCCATCACCCTCCATCCTTCAATATTGACCATGTTTGTGTTAGAATTCCTGCTCCTTGATTTCAGTCATGGGATTGTTGTCTTTCACATGACGTTATATGTTTTGACTCCACAGAGTGGGAAGTGATAGAGACAGGATGTTTATGTTACTGTGTTCTGCGAAGTGGGACTATTGTCCTTTGTTCTTTTTCTCTTTGCTGTCTGATGCTAGAGAGAGAGGGAGCCATGTTGCAGTGCTCCATGCGTCTTTATATGTAAACAAAGTAGATTAGCCAAAATGCTGAGTTGCTGAGGTCTGTCACGCAAGCTGCGAAGACTCTGTGGATCCCTAAGTGTGCCGATGTCTGTTGGCATCGGTCGCTGTGATGTTCGGGCTGAAGAAAGCTTTTGAAGCTCCTGAACGATCGACCAGGAGGGAGAGAACATGCCAGTTGGGCATGAATCTCTGCCAGGATCCTACTCGAGTGTAGGACAAGCTCCTGACTGTTTGCTGGCTCTGGTGGACATTGGAGCTCAACGTCTGAAGGGAGGAAGGGGAGAAACAAACCCAGAATTAAGTCCCAGAAAGAACACCACTTAATTGAATGACAAGAAACCCAAAGCCCATAGCTCAAATATTCGCTTGTGTCTTGTAGGAACTAAGGATACAGTGCTCAGTATACATCCAGCCCATCTCAATTTCACATGTCCATTTCACATTCACAAGTCAGTTCCATCCCATTTTCTCATTAATCTGCATTTTATTTACAACGTATACAAGAAAATTTAAATTAACATTTGACTAGTTAAATGAATCTTTTAATCCATGTTGAAATACAGATTTTATCTCACTGTATGCAGTTCTAAATGGGTCTTGCCCTAAAACACACATTTTAGCTGAGAATGGCATTGTAAAATTCATGGAACTGCAAAATCCAAAGCTAACATATCCCAGTTCTGGAGATACAAGTGAGGTCAGATTGTGCTTCAAAATGGGTACCAGACCTAGTTCTCCTCCATCCATCACGACAGTACAGGGCATGTGAATATAAATTATTACCTGGGTCAGGAGACATGAAATTGTGCATCTTGGGTAGCCCTTAAAAAGAAACCAGTGCTGCTCCGCTGTATGTAGCATCAACTGCATGCACAGATATGTAGCTGGTAAAGCTTTCTGCATCATTTTGGGGGCGGGAGCAGGAATGCAGCTTCACCTGTGCACCTGTGAATATGTTGGACCACTGTTAACGGAATGCTATTAAGAATAGTAAAACATGTGATATCTCCATAAGCAGTGTGAACAGTAGCACTATTTGATTGCTTTTTGATTCTGAAGTATTCCCTTCCTTTAGTTAAACCACAGAGCCTAGGACTTGCAGATCAGAAGGTCGGCGGTTCGAATCCCCACAACGGGGTGAGCTCCCGTTGCTCGGTCCCTGCTCCTGCCAACCTAGCAGTTTGAAAGCACATCAAAGTGCAAGTAGATAAATAGGTACCGCTCTGGCGGAAAGGTAAACAGCGTTTCCGTGCACTGCTCTAGTTCGCCAGAAGTGGCTTAGTCATGCTGGCCACATGACCCGGAAGCTGTACGCTGGCTCCCTCAGCCATTAAAGCGAGATGAGCGCCGCAATCCCAGAGTCGGTCATGACTGGACCTAATGGTCAGGGGTCCCTTTACCTTTATTTCCTTCTAGAAAACCCATTTGCCTTCTCCTGGGTGCAGAAGGGTACAAAGCCTACCATTTTAAGTCTGATTTAAAGGCAAAGTAAATCGGATTCAACTTTCCTAAAGTCAGCAGAGTCACTGTAGTGTAAACCTAGGCTTGGGACTTGGGATATTTTCTCCTCGATTATCTTTCAACTTTGGCAACCTGGGTGCATTTAAATAAGGAAATGTTCTACAGGGCATGCTTATGAAATATTTATAGCAGTGCTAGGACAGAAATAGTTGTTTATAAATAAATCTGGCAAAGGGGTGGGGGGGATTTACTTGAGAAAGGAAAGTGCAACATTTTCATTTCTAGCTTGAGTTGCAGAAATAAATAAATATCCTGGTGGTGTTAGGGAATGTCATGGTTCAGTTCCACATCATCTCATGTTTCCTCTATACCTCAGTGGGTTTTGCTGGGAGAAATTCCCAGAAGTAGAGAGGGCAGTGCTAGCATCACATATAACTGAATGCTCATTTGCAATCCGGTCTACAAGTAAGTCAAGCTGAATGGTTCTTGAACCCAAATCCTAACCGTCTCTGATGAATAATTGAAATATTTATTTTTTGGCAACAGCTACATCTTAATGCAGCGGTAGCCAACACTGTGCCCTCCAGAAGTTTTGGGACTTCAATTCTCATCAGCTCCAGCATGAAAAATGGTCAGGGATGATGGCAGTTGTGGTTCAAAACATCTGGATGGTGCCATGTTAGCTAGCCATGCCCTAAAACAGTGTTTCCCAAACCTGGGTCTCCAGCTGTTTTCAGACCACAGTTCCCATCATCCCTGACCACTGGTGTTGCTAGCTAGGGATGATGGGAGTTGTAGTCCAAAAACAGCTGGAGACCCAAGTTTGAGAAACATTGCCCTAAAAGATAGCAACCCCTAGTCCAGGGTTGGGGAAGCTGTGGATCTCCAGATGTTCCTAGATAGCAACTCCCTACTTTCCTGCCCAAAGGCTACAGTGGCTAAGGCTGATGGGAGTTGGAGTCCGGTAACATCACAGCTTTCCCATCCTCAGTCTTTCCAAATGAGTATTGGTAAACAGCTAGTGTCCAGGCAGAATGGCAGAGTCAGCATTGGTGGATCATGGTCAGCTCCTCCCCCAATCCACCAAGTGACCTTCTAAATTGGAGTACTGCTTTCTCCAATTTAGCACCGAGCTGGTGACTCTGGCAACTTCTTAGGAGCAGTGAAGGAAAACAACAACAACAGCAACCACCCTAGTCAGAGTAGATAGAAAAGGAAATTCCATCTACAGAAACATCTAGAGTGAACCCTGAACCCAAAGAGGGGCCATGGGAGTAACAGAAGCTTGGACTTGTGGTGAAAATAAATAAACTTTAACGACTGACAGAAGAGGTCAAGTAGACATGATATTTAACTGCTAGTTCTGCCTGAGGGTTCAGGATAGGGCTCTGTGTGAGATTTCCTGGAGGACTGCAATCTTCTGTACTAAAATGATGTGCCCTGAGGTATTTCTTGCTACACTTGTTATAGGCAGCACACGGAAGGGCATGAGTCCAATGCCCCAGCAGCAGGCCAGTGGAAAAGGGCAGGAATCCTCTGATGGAAATAAGATAAGGCTAATTAAGGAATCCTCAGGCCAAGAGGTTTAATTGGAAGGACTGTCTAATATGTGAGCTAAACTGCTTTATAAAATGCAAAAAGGAAGCATATGAACTTTGCAGAGGTAAATTAAAAATAAGAGGGGGGAAATCTCTAGAATGTGTGCTTTACATGAACCCTCATATTTTAACCTTACAATCAATTGAATGCCAAAAAAGAAAAGAAAAAAGCCTACTGGGTTTTCAAGTAAAAATAAAAAGAACGGGGAATTGCCACACAGCAGTTTGTCTTGATTGTTTAGGCCATGCTCCAGCCATCTTTTAAACCCCTTTAATTCCACGTGCTTAGCGAACTTAAACACACTGATTCTGACCAGCACATTTCTGTGGTTATTTGACTGTGTCATCGCTTTGCATGCTAAATAGTCAAAAGTGGAATGTAAAATGAATCTGTCATTAGAAGAAAGAAAGAAAAAGGTAGGTGGTCAACCCAAGTGGTCCTAAGTAGACAGGCCCTGTTATAACTGGGCTCTGGTGAGATGCATAAATTGTTTTACCTTAAGTTATCAAAGGTCACCTACATTGTTGAGCAGGTGGGCATCTTTTCAAACTGGGGAAACTGTTGTGGGCATCACACATGCACACTGCAGCCAAACACACACCTCAGCCTATTCTATTGGCTACAAAATGGATGCTGCTTTCAGGGTGAAATTTCAGTGGGACAAGAGGAGGGGAGAGCCTGCAGTGACCAGGAAAGGCCTTTGCTAGCACATGTGTGGCTGCAGCTGGTGCACTGATCAATATGGTGGAGGCAGTTAAAGGACCAATGGTCTGGTTAGATGTGCACTTGTTGTGGAGTACTTCCCACCAAGACAAAGGGTCAAACTAGATGAGAACCCAATTCTAGGCAATTAGCAATTGTGTGGAGGGAGTTTCTGACAGCAAACAGCAGGCCAAAAGGAGCCTCTACACAGATCAGGACCTCAGTAAGTACAAAGACTTGAAGTCTCCTACTTCTCTCCACCAGGGTCCTGATGTGCAGGAGGACCTCACTTCTGTTATTTACTTTTTAAAAGCTACTCCAGGAATTGCTATTTATCTGAATGATGTTTTATCTTATTTTGCCCTAAAGCTGTTTCTCTTCAAATATTTAGGAGGGCTGACTTAGAAAGTCATCTTAAATGTAGGGTTGCCATCTTTGTTCTGGCAAAATAGTGGACAGGATGCGGCAGGGCGGTTGGGGTGATTTTTTTTCTCTTCTGGTGCTGAATGACTTCAAAGCAATCCATTACAATCTACTGCAGCCTAACAGGATGGCTCCTCTGGAATTTGTCTCTCTCTCTCACTCACTCACTCACTCTCACACATACACACACGAATTTGTAAATCTGTCTGTGCTTGGCTACCTGGAGTTTAAATATATTATCTTTCACACATGCTTTCAATTACATCCATTTGGAGAGGATCCCTAACTTGGCAGATAGAGAGGGGGCAGACCTGAAATACAGGACAAAACTGTATCAATACAAGACATAGCATTTTGCATGGATATATGGGACGATCCTGTATTGTACAGGACAAGCAGCAAACCAAGCCTATACACAGTAATTTGAGATTATGCTTTATATAACATGGGTGGCACTGTGGTCTAAACCACTGAGCCTCTTGGACTTGCCGATCAGAAGGTTGGTGGTTTGAATCCCTGCAATGAAGTGAGCTCATCTTGCTCTGTCACAGCTTCTGCCAACCTAGCAGTTTGAAAGCACACCAGTGCAAATAGATAAATAGGTACCACTGTGGCGGGAAGGTAAACAGCGTTTCCCTGCTCTCTGGTTTCCGTTATGGTGTTTTGTTGCACCAGAGGCGGTTTAGTCATGCTGGCCACATGACCCGGAAAGCTCCCTTGGCCTGAAAGCGAGATGAGCGTCGCAACCCCATAGTCACCCCCATCCAGGGACCCTTTACCTTTTTCTATATATTCTAGATTGTCGGCTGTGGAGTTTTTCTGTTGAAGGTTACTTCTGAATATTCCTTCCATTGCCCTTGCTACATTTTCTGTTGTCCCCCACCCAGTGGACAACTGGCATGTAAACTGCCCCAAACTGTTTGTCTGCCTGTGCCATCCAGGCAGGAAAAGCTTTCCACTGGGGGATTTCTCTGCAGCCTAACTAGCGAGACAAGCTTCAGAGAGTATCAGCACAGGCTCAGAGAGAGAATTGTGCTGCAGTTGTACTCTGTCACCAAGTTCGTGCTTCACCTTTGTAACCTCCTTGACTTTCATTTGTGTGAAGTCTAATTACTCAAGCGTTATGCTGATGAGTTGAATTTCACACTACATGTAAATCTGACCTGGGTGACTGGGGCTATGTACTTGGGTTGTCAGGAGGTTCAGAAGTGCAAATTAATGCAGAGAATCAGCATGTCCTGAAGCAATGCTAAGCATTTATAACTTTATGTAGCTGCATGTCTTTTAAATTATTTCTCCCTATGCTACCTTCTGGGTGCATATGCAATATGATTTGGTAGCTGGATATGTTTCACTGCAAAAAAGTTATATTGTATCCCACAAGGGAAATTTGGACAGTTTGGGTGGGTTTAGTTTAGTTTAAACCTATTTCCCATCTGATTTTTTAAAGATGGTGTTCATTTGTGGAGATAAAATGGAGTTACTGTAGGGGGTTGCTCTGGCTCTCCTTTATGACAGAGTCAGCTCAACGGGACATTAAAGTCTCATTTTCAGCAACTGGGGTGACTGAACCTTCAATGGAGTTAGAGCTACACTAACTGTTTCGTTAGGAATAACTATTTGTTTCTTAGCTTGCCCTTTTACAGAAAGGTTGGACGACATCATGCCCAACCTATTGTTACTAAGAGGGTTTTTTGCATTGTATTATTGCCTTTCTTCAGACAACAATTGCAGCTACTATGTGTTTCCCATCCCTGGAATAATGAACTTGCTCTGATTTTCTGCTCTGCCCATACGTTTGTGGGGTGGGGGCAAGAATCCCCTCAACTCTTGGGTGCTAGAACCTTCCCATAATTCCCAGATTTAGTAAAAGTTAGAAGTAATCAAGGTTTGATTAAACTGTGCCAAACTCTGCTGGATTCAGGTTACGCTAACAAGCCCAGCCTGACATAGCTAGCTGAATGTGGGTCATTGGAGGAACAAGGCCGAGTCTATTATTATTATTATTATTATTATTATACCCCACCCATCTGGTTGAGTTGCCCCAGCCACTCTGGGCGGCTTCCAACACACACAAATTTAATAATAAAACGTCAAACATTAATAGTAACAATCAGCTGTTATATAAAAAGTCACAATAACTTTAAAACAAACAACTTACACCAAATAAAGCAACATGCAACAATGCATTAGAATCCAATAGTAAACACTAAAATTAATTAATCTATAAGAAATTAAGAAGGCCTTTCACAGAGACTATCTGGGCCAGACAGAAAATGAGGAAAGCACCTCCCTGAGGTGAGAAATAGCAGAGACAAAAGACCAAAGCTTAAAGAGGGAGGAGCAGAATTGCAGTGGGCAATGAAGTAAGCTAACAAGGGGGGTGGGGAGTGTTAGCTTTGCAAAGTGGAGTGGGGTGGAGCACAAGGTGGGCTGCTGCAGAGAGAGTCAGACACAATGTTTGGGGTGTCTTGGAATCAGGGGCTGCAGCAATGGAAGGAACAGGACCGTCTTGGAATGTGAATGCTCTGCACTCTCTCCATCCAAGCTCATGTTGCACACCCTTGTGCAAATTAATTGAAACAAAGCATGTTTGCTATCTTACTCATAATCCTGTACAGTGGTACCTCAGGTTAGAGACATTTCAGGTTACAGACTCTGCTAATCCAGAAATAGTACCTCGGGTTTAGAACTTTACTTCAGGATGAGAACAGAAATTGCATGGCGGCAGCGTGGAGGCAGTGGGAGGCCCCATTAGCTAAAGTGGTACTTCAGGTTAAGAACAGTTTCAGGTTAAGAATGGACCTCCAGAATGAATTAAGTTCTTAACCAGAGGTACCACTGTACTCAAAACAAACACGAAAAGTCAGTTTGATCATTTTTTATGTTGGCTGACATCAGCAGCTACTGTATTGCATCAGATTTTAGAAACCTGACCAGATGTGATTCAACTGCGGTTCGAGATGGATGTGACACTTAGGAAACGTACGAAGATAATAACTCTGCATGAACACACAGCTAAAACGTATCGAGAGATTGCTTCCGGGGTTGGTGTGAGTTTAGCAACTGCCAGCCATGTCATCAAGTTGAAGAAGG